GGTAAGGGGTTAAAAAAAAAAAAAAAAAAAAAAGGAAAGACGGTAATCAAACTACGGTTACACAAAAGGGGGAAAAAAAAAGAAGAAGGGGGGATAAAAATGAGAGAATAAAAAGTAGAGAGGATGCTCCTTCTGTCACGGCAGGGCCGGCGTCCTATCCCCATCCCCATCCCTATCCCTGTGTGGCGGACTCACAGGCGTCGCTCCAGGAGGCAGCTTCCTGGGTGGGGGAGTATGCGCCGTGCCTCTCTTCTGCTTCTTCTTCTCTGGGCTACTGCCAAGCCTATCTATCGCGGGTAACGGTGGCTGCAGCGGAACCCTCGCTCTGCGCTTACTGGGCTCTGGCTTGTCTTCGCCCTCACTCGCGGATATGGTCGAGTCACGGGAGCGGGAGCGGTGGCGTTTCTGGTGGGCCGATGACGAAGTGAAGGCCAAGGGGGATAGGAGGCTTGGTCGGGCGTTCTGCGAGGAGTTTGCTGAGGGGGGGTGGGTGGTTGTTATTGATGGGAGGTGGTGCTGCTTGCGGGGTTTTCTGAGACGGGGATGGGGGTTTTGGTGATTAGGATTACTATGGTGGTGGTGGTGGTGATGGCGAGGGTGATGGCGGCGGTGGTCGGAGTGGTCCTCCTCGACCATTTCTTGGGAGAGGACTTGTGATGCTAGGAGGCCCAGGGCTGCTAGTCCGTCGTCTTCATTGTTCGTGTCGGATTCTAGAGCATTGCGTGGCCCCGGTACCCGCGATGGTCCTCTGTGGCTATCTTCCCGTCTGGTTGTAAGCCGCTGCTGGTCCGCAGTGGCGGAGGAGGAGGTAGGGCAGCCCGGAGACCGAGTGGCCTCCAATTGGTGCTGGTGCTGTCGGTTATCCCGAATCCGCTTCTTCAATTTCTCGTTCTCGTCCCTCAATTCACCGAGATCCTCACGGTGCTCTCGGAGACTGCGCTTAGCACGTCTTAGCCGCCGCTTGTATAATTCGTTCTCCTCTACGAGCGCGGTCTGTTGGTTGGTGTTCCAGGGACCCTGGTCGAGGCGGAGTACCTCTACTTCACGACGAGTGATATCTGATTCCACCTGATGACGGGCAGCCGCTTCTGAATTCTCTAGCATGAGGAGCTTGTGCTGGAGGGTATAGTGCGTCGCCGTGGTGCGTAGTGAGGATAGCGATGACGAGAGGGTCTTGATCAGCTGGTTGGCTAGGTCCAACTTCGATCGCAAGGTGCCCAAATCGAAGGACTCGATGGCGGACGAGCTGAGGTCATCCCATGCTTCCGTCTCAGACGGAGGCGCTGGTAGCGCTGGGAGTTCAATGGGAGTCGGGGCAGCGGTGGTAGGGGTTGCTGACGAGGGGCCGAAGGACGTGGAGGCGAAGGATGGGGTCGCTGGGCGATTGTAGAAGGGCTTCGCTGGGGCAAGGTGAGCGTTGGGTGTCAAAGGCGGCTGGCGGGACTGTGAATGCGAGTTTGAGGAAGGAGTCACTTGGATCGCAACTGGTGAGAGTGGCGGTGTAGGTGTGCGTATGGTAGACCGCGAAAGATGTCGTTGGTGGTCTTCCTGGGCAGCCATTGGCGCACCAATGGGATGGGGCGAGAAGCGGGCAACGTCTATGGATAGAAATACAGCGCGAGTAGGGCTACAACAGAAAGAGTGTGTGTGGTCCGGGGGATGATCGGCTAGAAGTGTGGGAGGGACAAGGAGGAAGAGGGGGCCTCCTCTGTGGGGAGGGGGGAGGGGAGCGAGAGGCACAGTGGATCACTGAACTACGGGGGAGGGACTTTGGGTGAGAGTGACAAATCCCGGACGTCACCTACACTGTAAACAAGAGGTGAGGTTTGGATAACAATGGAATTGTTTTATCTAAGCACAGATCTGCTATGTTGGCCGCCATCGGTTCCCGTGCCTTGGCTCAACTCGCTTGTCCTACTGTATTGTTATGCAGGCTGCCCTGACAACCTGATGCATCTCATCCCTTGCAGTTTTCTGCACAGACCGATCTCTGGTTTTCCTCGCCCAGGGGTTCTCTTCCCGCTTGAGGACAGACACAGCGAGTTGTCTGACTTTGACACTCTTAATTCTGTTTTATCATAGCTCTCCTGGGAGGAAGATAGCAAAGAATACGGTAGTTTTAGCAGTGAGATGAGGCACGGTGTCTGAACGTTTGAACTGCTCCCAGTTCTCCAAATTGTTTACGAGAGGCTTTGTTGTGGTCACCGCCGGTCACTCTTTGATCGGGAGAGGCAATTTTGAGCTTGTTCGACGCGTCCACTGCGAGCTAATTAGTTACAAGTACGCCCGGACACACGGGAACCAATCAGAGTCAGCTAAATATGATACGGTACTTGTGCTCGAGTACCTTTCCGTTGCCAGATTATGAAAGTCACTCCCCTTTTCCGCTCCTCTCGCTAACACACCACCCGTCCGTTCCTTTTTCCATTTCTTCTTCCACTTCATTCTTTTTCCCCCTCCCTGCCCCTGAGTCCTGACCTTATCGACCAGATTTGTTTGCAGTCTTTGCATGCTTGCACAATGGGCGAAGGTCGTGAAGTTGACAGTCCCGTCACGGAAGCTCCTACTGATGGAGATGTGAATGAGGTGGGTGAGATGGTCAGTGAGGTTGAAGAGGGGGAATCACCTCGGCCTGCTACTACTTCTCCCATCCTTGCTACTGCTGTTCCTGCTCTTGCAGGTTTCCCCCAACGCACATTGTCTTCTAGGCTACCAAGGCCACGGAAAGTATCACCGAATATTCCACCTCCAATCACTATTGGTTCCTTGAGACACGCCGTTTCCAAGGAAATCTTGCCATCAGCAAGGACTTCCAAGGTTCCCCCTCCCAGAGGACCCCCCGCTATTCCCAAGCGAGGTCAGGTAGCCGGTGGTGCCGCAGGTGCGTTGTACCGATCATCTAGAAAATCCAATTCCATCTGATGTTGTTTTTGGCCTATAGTCAGTCCAACAGATCCGCCGGGTTCTCCGGTAATCAGAACTCCAAGGAGATCCAATTTTGGTGCACCCGATCATGCCTCACATACAGCAGCATCTCTTGCAAAAAGGGCTTCGGTACCCTCTCTTAACAGAAAGCCGTCAGCCCCGTCACTTTCAAGAAAAGCTTCTTCATCCCAGCTACAACACTCTACTGTCTTGACGCCGCCTGGAAGGAGAACCTCAGATATCAATGGAAACGTAGCACCGCGACTGGCTAGGAAGCCCTCGGCTTCCCAACTTACTATCTCAAAACGGCCTTCTAATTCCCAGCTAGCTAAAAAGCCATCAGTGACGCAGCTAAATACCCTAGCAGCCGCTGCCTCGCCGAGCCCTACGCCATTCCGACGTGCAGCATCAACACATCTGCCGTCTCAGCAGTCTCCGACAGTAGCTAAAATTCCTAACCGTCCGTCGTTGTCCCAACTCCGCCAGGCTTCGGCTGGGAGTAACGGAGCTCCAGCCCCACAGTTGCAGAAGAACCAGAAGCCAGCTACACCATATGCACCTGGACCAGAATCCCCTCCTCCGAAAAAAGCCCCTAGAGCCGCATCCCAATCTCTCCGGGATACAATCGCCAAAGCTCGGGCTGCTCATCGCGCGATGTCAAACACGGCCAAGCCTTCAGCCTCTCTTGTCAATCCTGTGACTGCTGGAGCTACTAATAACGACTTGAACGGGTTTAATTTTTCGAGCGAAGACCCTTTCAATCAAGCCATATTTGGTGAGGGTGGGTCTGCCAAGGTCCTGAAACAACGGATCAAGACAGCCAGAGTTGAAGGCCGTCTCAACATTTCGAATCTCCAACTCGGCGAGATCCCGGGTGATGTTTATAAAATGTATGAGACTGCGGAGGAGGATTTAGCGTCCAATGAAACCAACGATGGCCCAAAGTGGTATGAAAGCGTGGATTTAGTCCGATTTGTGGGCGCGGACAATGAGATTGAAACAATAAGTGAAGATTTGGTAAGGCAGTTTGGAGGGTTGGCTAGTATTGATGTACGTGGAAAACATCCGCCTACCGGCACTTCCCTTTAATCTTGGCAGACTTTCCCGTGGTACAAGAAGTGTAAAGGCTAATAGACAGGGTAAATTAGATGCACAACAATCTGCTGATGGCATTGCCACATAACTTTGGGGGATTAGCCGAATTGACGGTTCTCAATTTGGTGCGTAGCATACTCCAGCACAAGTGATGGATGCAGCTGCTTTTTAAAGCCTTACTAACTTTGAATGTGATGATCAGGCTAATAACAAGCTGAGCAAGGGCGCCCTTAGCATTATTTGCCAAATATCCAGTTTGGTAGATCTTAAGCTTGCCAAAAACGGTCTTGAAGGAGAACTTGATTCATCTATTTCCAGGCTTACCAATCTCGAGATCCTGGAGTTGCAGGAGAACAATCTTGAGTATTTACCTTCGTCGCTTGGACAACTTTCGAAACTCCATGTTCTCAACATTTCCCACAACATCATTCGGTCCATTCCGTTTGAGTCCCTCCTCCGTTGCCAATTGCATGAGTTGACTGCCTCGAACAATAAGCTCAAGGGAACTTTATTTCCCCGCGAGGTTACTCGGCTCGACTCTTTGCACTCTCTGGATGTCCGAAACAACCATATCTCCGTCTTCAGCGAGGGTGTCGTTCTCTCTTCCCTTCAACAACTTTTTGCTACCAATAATAGTCTCACATCATTCCCTCCTGTTACAGGATGGGAGGAGTTGTTGGTTTTTCTTGTTGATTCCAACCGCCTTGACTCACTACCCGATGGTTTAGTTGGTCTGCACCGAGTTAGGACTATCGATGTTTCTGCGAATAATATCAAGACATTGGATGCAAGAGTTGGAATTATGGAGGGACTGGAGGTGCTGAAATTTGACGGAAATCCGTTGAGAGAGAGGCAACTTTTGGGAATGAGCATCGCCGATTTGAAGCGAACTCTTAAAGGGCGTTTAGCTCCGCCCGAGATTGTCATCGCGAAAGCAGAAGACGATGATCCGACAGTTGTTGACGACTCAGCTGGTAGCAGGCCCCAGGCCATTTCTGAGAACTCGAAAATCTTGGAGGTTGGGAGAGGCGGCGCGCTAGACCTGGCTTCTAAGAACTATGAAGATCTTCCCAAGGAGTTAATGGATACTGTCCGGGGAACTCCAAGTAGTGTTTCTCTTCTGCATAACAGGCTTACCGCATTCCCATCGAGCCTAGAGATATTCGCGCTTGGGTTGACGAGTCTCAACATTGGTCATAACAAACTCTCGGGAAATTCATATTTCCCGAATAAAATGTCTTTAACATCGCTTACCACCCTCATCCTCCAAGCCAATAGCATCACTTCTCTACGACCGTTGATAGAGAACTTGGACGCACCAAAACTTGATACATTGGATGTTTCGGCAAACCGCCTCACTTCTATCGAAGGGATCAGGCCAACTTTCCCGCATCTGATTGCCTTTTATGCGAGAGATAATCAGATTACCGAGATTCCAGTGGATTCCGTCGATGGAATAAGGATACTTGACCTCAGCAGCAATGCAATTACCAGCTTGCCTCCTAAACTGGGAACACTAAGCAGCATCCGTGAGTTGAGAGTTGGTGGTAATCTTTTCAAGGTTCCGCGTTGGCAGGTTTTGGAGAAGGGGACGGAGAGTGTTATGCAATGGCTTCGGGGAAGATTACCTGTTGATGAGCAAGTAGAGTAGTTTATTTGTACTGGGTTGCGGATCATATCGAACTAAAGGCGCAGGTTGGGGTGGATTACCATAGAAAAAAAGGTTTACAATAGGGCTTAGGAGAAAGGTTATTATAAATAGGTAATATGGTATCACTGTAATCGTAATATTTTAATGCAACGTCTGTCGTCATTCTTCGGGCGTGTTCTTGATATATTCACAGTTTCTCACTCGATAGCTCTGGCAGTCGAGAAAGGAAAACAAACTGTAGTTACCCTCCTGAATGGAGGGTGCAATTTTTTGGACCTTGCGGCTCTGCCCTCTGAACGTCATCATATATCCTGCAATTAAGCCCCCAGAAATACCCTCTTGTTTGCCATCTGCTAGTCGCTCGTTTCTTAAGCTATCGGAAAATGGTGCCAATCTTTCTTCCTTCATCTCCTCTAATTACACAGTCTAACAGGAAATAATGATATGATGGCCCTCCAGTCCCGCTACGAAATCCTCTCACCAGAAGGCCTCCGTACCGATGGCCGTCGCTGGAACGAAATACGCCGCTTCTCAGCCAAAATGGCCACCACCACAGCTGCCGACGGAAGCTCGTATGTGGAGCACGGCAACACAAAGGTGATTTGTTCCGTAAATGGCCCAATCGAGCCCCGCGCCGCCAACGCCCGCAGTTCTGAGCGCGCGACGATCACAGTGGACGTCTGCTTCGCGGCGTTTAGCGGGACGGATAGGAAAAAGAGAGGGAAAGGCGATAAGTACTCTACCCGCCCCATCAAATCACCAAACTTACCTACCTACCAGGGAGGAGGGGGCGCTTTACTGATGGGTCGAGCGCAATCGAAAAGACGGGTCTTAGAAATGCAATCCGCCCTCTCCCGCACCTTCGCCTCCACCCTCTTGACCGCCCTGCACCCGCGCTCCGAAGTGCATATCAGTCTGCACATACTCTCCCAGGATGGCTCGATCCTCGCTACTTGCGTCAACGCCGCCACGCTAGCGCTCGTTGACGCAGGCGTGCCCATGACGGACTACGTGACCGCTTGCACCGTCGCGTCCTACACCAACCCGGATGAGTCGGACGAGCCCTTGCTCGATATGAATTCCGCCGAGGAGATGGACTTGCCGGGAATCACGCTCGCGACCGTTGGCAGGAGCGATAGGATTTCCTTGCTGCAGTTGGAAACTAAGGTGCGCTTGGAGAGGCTTGAGGGTATGCTGGCTGTTGGCCTCGATGGGTGCGGGAAGATTAGGCAGTTGTTGGATGAAGTTGTTCGTGAGCATGGGAATGAGATGGCGAGGATGGGAACGCTATGACGGACTTTGGAGAGGTCTTTTTTTTTTTCTCTTTATAGATTTGGTTTAAATTGATCCGGAGTTTTTTTTTCTTTTTTTCATACTTTGTCACGTACTATCACTCGACTGTTCAGATCCAGCACTTGGCACAGTACCGGTATCGTATCATATTATTCCTTGAGTAGCCTAAGACAGTCGAACCCCCCGTCCGGAAGGGATCCCCGGAAACGAAGATGAACCATGCATGTGCACACAAATACCGTACTGGACATCTGTGGCGCGATGCAATAACTTTTTTTCTTTTTTCAAATTTTCAAATTTTCACATGGCGTTGGTTGGTATCGTGAATCCTTGCTTGCCTGATGGAGGGAGGAGTGGCAGTCTATGATGGATGAAGTTGGCCGGTTGTACCGTGCTAGTAGAGTACGGTACTCTACTCGGGTGTCAGTCATGCTTATGGTACTATAGTAGTGCGGCACCTCCCGCACAGACTTATTACCGTATACTTGTAGGGTGCACCGGAAACAATACCCGGCAGGATATCGTGCCGGTTGGGGGCGCCCGGAATCCCCAACCCGAGCTCAACCGCTCTGTGGAATTGTAAAAAAGATATGGTACGATGCTGTTATCATGTTCAGCCATGTTCAGCGGCAGAGGGAGGGTTCGTGAGTACTGTGCAGTGCCGTTGTAGTTTTTGTGCCGTACAGTGCCGTGACTGGCTCGCAAAACCATGGAATTCTTGGAATCACCGCGCCCCGCGCGCGCACGACGTTTACCGTTATCGTGTTGCTTAACCACCTATTCGAAAAACTCGCGGGCAAGATACCGCGTACTGGCGGAGGCATCGTATCCTGGAAAGAGGATTCAAAAGCAAGATATTATGGCCAACTTGAAGAAAGAAAGAACCTAGCCGACAAACTAACCTTCTCTAACCCGGATCGCATAATCGAAAATCACAATGGATGTGTCGTACTGCAGGACAAATATTTCCATTTTTCCTTGCACGCATGCACCAACGAATGGATGCCTAAATACATGGTTTCGGATGATGTATATATCTCGCAGCCTAAAAAGAAAAAGAGAGAAGAAAAAGAAAAGCTTTTGAGAGAGGAAGGAAGTCAACCCAAGGGCAGAAGAAGGTTTAAGGGGGAGGGAGATAGAGAAGAGGTGGGGAAACTAGATACAAAAGAGGAACTAGGTCTTCATAGCCTCCCCCATGGAAGCCGGACTGTTGATTAAATTGAACGTTTTTCTGTCCGTCGGGGGCCCCCCGCGACCCCCCCCTTCCGCCCCTCCCACCTGAGTGATCGCCCCTCTGGCCGCCTCTTCCACCCCTGCCTCCTCCACCTCCGCGCTGTTGACCGCCTTCAAAGCCGCCCTGGCCTTGCGTCTTCTGCTCCAGGACCCGCTCGTTTTGCTCCATCAGGCCGCTGGCTTTGTCGCTGAGCGTCAAGGCCAGTGTTTGCAGACGTGAGAGCTCGACGCCCTTTCTGAAGATGATGGCATTGTTGACCTGATCCAGTGCTGCCGCGATCTCCTCGTGGGCGATCATTTTGCTGACCAATGCCGAAACCTTACGCTCGCCGAGGTCGAACATCTCAACTAGGCGGCCGAGTGAAAGGGTATCGTAGAAAGGTGCATAGGTGAAAAGATAAGTCCTGAGACCCTCCTCCTGGATCTTCTCAGAGAGCATCTCTTTAATCTTTTGCGGTTCGGGTAGGAGATCCCAGATCTTGATGGCGTGGATGAGTTCGCTTGATCTCTTCCATTCCCCGGCGGCCAGGGCCTTAGCGGATTGCATTACGTGATCCCGGGTGTTCTCCGGAGGGCCGGTGAAGATCTGGCGTTCATGGTATTCAAGCATACGCCGGAAAGTCTTGCTGATAACACGCTTCTTCATATCTGGCGAGGAGCCGCTCGCGGCCAATGCTGGGATCTCCAGTAACATAGAGCAAGTGAGATATGCACACTCCAAGAGCTCAAGATTGATATGCTGGTGGAAGGGAAGCTGTCGTTGCCTCTCAAGGCGCTCCTGCTCAGGAGTGACTTGCGAGTAGCGTTGGATCTGCACACCTTGGGCCAAGAGCTCCTTAAGTCTGCCGGTACCGCAGATTTCTTGCAGTGATGTCTGAGCTTCGTATATCAATCCGGCCCTGAAAGCGCAAAGCCCGACTTGAACCAAAGTTCTGTTGTACAAGATTTGGGTGCTGACGTCGGCGACGTGAATGTTCTCCTGGAGATGTGACATGAGAAGCATATCGCGAGCCTTGTAGAATCGGTTGTGAAGAGCGTGATGGTAGATGTGGCAAAGCATAGCCCGTGTCCGGATGACAGTGGCATCGTGTTTGTAGAGGTAGGTGGCTAATGTGTGGAGGAGATTAGTGGCATCGGTATTGGTGATGGTTC